GCTGCCTTGGTGTAGGATCATCCCAGAGTCTGGGATTCATTTCAGCCTCCGGGACTCCGCAGTGGTACAGAAGCTGGTTGCTCTGCTCACTGTTCCTGATGCATGGGCCAAGCTGCTGGCAGACAGAAGATGAGAGCAGAGGACAGAAGGGGATTTTTATTTCTTTTTTTGGTTGGGTGGTTTTTTGCCTATGCACAGCTGGTAAGTTTCCCTGGGCAATTCAAGAGCACCCCTCCAACTTCTGTAACCTTCGCCAAGTGTTTGACAGACCCAGGAAACCACCGTGGGGATTCTGGAGGATGCAGAAGCCAGATGCAGCAGGCAAACATCATATATTTCCCAAGGAGTCAAACACAACATCGTAGGCAAGAAGAAAAAAAGGACAAGCTGGTGCTGCAACACTTCTTTCTTCTTGCTCTAAATTTTGCAATTCTTCAAGCAACCAGAGTAGAGGGATTCCAGAAGTAGCGTTATAAAATGAAGAAGCTTCGGATGAACAAGCAGCCTGTCCTTATTACGGCTCCCCCCCTTGACTACCGCCGCGCCCCGAAGGGCAGCTCCCACAAAGCCTGCCCAGCTGCTGCGGCTGGCCAACACCGGCCGTCGTAATTAGAAGCATCAAAACCTCTTGATGCTGCAGAACGTGGGTCGGCACACAAAGGCACGGTGCCAGCGCTGGACGGAGGTGTCATCCATCGCAATGCTACCCGGGGCTGCAAGCTGGGAACAACTCGTGCTGCTGCAGTGACTGGACTGCAGAGAGGCGGGGAGAAAGCTAAATATACACCCCTCTAAAAGGCAGCCCTCCCCTGCTCCTGTTTAGGCTGTACCTGTCGAAAGGCACAGAGAGCCTCTAACTTAAGAAAGAAAAATACCACCTGGCACAACATTCTTGAGGTGTTCCCAACGCATGATGCACCCACAGCTGTTCATACCGCAGCAGGGTCAGGAGATTTGCTACTGCAAGAGGTCACGTCCATCCCAACGCACCCTGCTGCCATGGCAGACCCAGCAGCGCCGGACCGCAGAACACCCACACAAGCAGAGCTCCAGGCTCAGTTCAGAAACCATGGCATCCAAGCTGAAAATTGTCCCAGTGCAAAACAGGCAGAGGTTGGAGCACAAAAGGGCCAGAAATCGGTCTTCCAGCCGCTTGCAGGAAGACTAGCCTTGCCTCACCCTCCCAATCAAGAAATAAATAAATATATAACCAAAAAGAAACAATAACAACAAAAAAACCCTTAACCCTCCTGCTCCTGCATCTCACAGGTTGCAAGCCCAGCTGCGTGCCTCTCCACCGGGCACCGGGAAGGGCTGCGGACGGAGCGGCCGTGCTGGCACCAGCACGGTCCCTCTGTGCTCGCAGCCAGC